AATATAGGGTTAAAAACAAAATCTAATTGTAATTTGTAAGAAAAATGAGACAATTTTGTTTTACCATAAAATTAGTTATTCATATAATGTTAATAACATGTTTAAAAATATTGCAATAGATCATATTTATATCGGATAATGTGACAATAAAATGATTCAATATTAAATTTGTATTATAACAATGTTCATTAAATATTTATATCATGCAATAATCATTTCCTCCTTTAAAATTGATGCAAGATGAGATTCTGAGTCAGTGCATAGCAAATTGTTAATTCTATTACAATTTGTTATAAAATCGAAAGCACTTGTGTATGACAAGATTTCGTTTTTCAATTCTTTCAACTTTATTATACCATTTTTATGTGCTTTTAAGGTTTTTCTTCTGTACCTAACTGCTGTAATCATTTTATCTAAAGTATAATGTAGCCATAAAATATTTGTGTACGGTTCAAATGTTTGCCAATTATTTCTGAAATAGTTTTTATAAGTATACAGTTTAGTAATTCTTATAAAAATTATATGTAAGCATATATACTCACTTGATCTTGTCTTTCATCAAACGATAAATTTCAAATTGATATTCGCCCTGAGCCGTAAAAAGACTAGGATCAGATGCAAGATCATTAAATACGCTGCATCCTTGATATGTTACTCTTGAAAGTGTAAAGTCTATTATAGACACCTATAATGAAAAAGGAAAGCTTTATATTTTAATCTACTTTAAAAGATTACTAAATTTAATGAAACATAACTTACGATATCAACATACCTTTACACCTTTACTAATTAATTGAATTCGTTTCTTTCCTAGTTTATAATGTATATGAGATTCAGTTGTTGGAGATATTAATATGTTACCCCAATGCAAGTCTCTGTGTTCAAATTCAACAGCTTTTTCTGCGACTGCTAATGCTAATGCTGCCTATCATTAGTAATTAAACATAAATAAAAACAGTTACACAGTTGAATTAGATTGCATATTTTACGCCCGAAAAATGAAAAAATTAAAAAAAAATTTTTAAACCTGTACAAATAGAGCATAAGCTTCATCTGCTGTAGGAAATACAAATGCCTCTAAATCTTGACCACCATGACCAAGTTCTAGAATAATGTATAACTGGTTCTCATTAAACATAGATGGACAATCATTTTCAGAGTGTTTCTCCTCATCATAAATAGTCCATAGATCAACAAGCTTCTTTGGGTATTTTCCTTTAAGACATTTAATATTTTCTACTTCTACAAACCCATCTGTATTATATTTTGGGTTAAATCTCAAATTGTGTAATTCCCTGAAAATATGTTTAATTAAATATTAATGTTAGAATTGGTATTTTTATGCGATAGAATTAGAATTTGTTATTACATTGCTATAACAATTTCTGATAATATTTCATGAAACTTCTTTTGAGGCTCTCCATTAACATATTCATTGCCTTCTATAGGAATAATTTTTATAACAGATTTTTTATCATTATGTTCATAAAGAAAAACTTCTCCATACACGCCTTCTCCAATTTTTCGACAGTGATTTAAATACCTAATTAAAAATAACTACATTAGAATATATTAAACAATGTTTAAGATATCGATATGAGCGTATACTAACGAATCTGAAAAATACGTAGAAAATGGTATATAATCTTGCTGTGAACATTTTTCAAGAATAACTTCTTTTGCTGCCAAAATTACATGTTCATTGTTAATGTGACCATCAATGTCATCATCTTGAACATTAAATACACAAGATTTTTGTGGACCTGTAAAGAAATATAGCATTTAAAAAGAATATATCACATTTCTTCCTTAACAGAACAAAGTAAGGAATTATCTCACTATTTATTAAGGTGAATCTTTGACTCTTTACAGGAACGATTCCATAAACTTCAAGAAATTGAGCGTCTTCTATTGATTTTAGAGTTTTATTAATTGGGACTACACGAACTGATATTCTTTTGCTTGGGCGTCCTAGACTGGTAGAGTCACAAGTTCTGCCTTTCTTGTTATCCAATTCATGTTCAGATGTGGTGACTGTTTCAATACTTGCTTGTAGATCTTTGTCACTTTCAGTTTTTCTTATACAACTTTGAAAAATACCTACACACAAATGAGTAAAACATTTATACAAATCATTCTTTCAGCTATGAATTTGCTTTACTTGTTTATATTAATCATACTAAATGAAGAACCCACCCATTTATAAACATACTTCTTACATTTTTTATAGTAACAAAAACGTACATTTATCATACAAAATTCATTAAAAAATATTAAAATATAAATACAAAATATATAATAAACAAAGTATAAATATGAAAAATATTGAAATATTAAAATTACAGGTTAATAAATCACGAAATAAAATTTTGTTTTGCCAAATATAAAAAAGAATGATAGTCAAATGTTTGTATATCATATTCAATCTTTCATGATATAGTAGGAAAATTAATACAAATTCCAATTTGTTATAAACCTCAAATTTTGAAACATAATAAAAAGTATTAGAAATAAGTGTTTATTAATTTTATAATTACCTTGCTTTTGCATATTCAAAATGTCCACAACACTATTTCTCCATTGTTTACCTTTCCCAATAGATAACTTATCCAAATTGGATTCATTTTGAATACTATTTAAAATAGATAATGATCTTGCCCATGATTTACCTGCCTTTAAATATATAGGTTTCTCTATTTTTGTTGATACATTACTAACACGTGTTTCTGGTATGTTTTCTATTGATCGTAATGTTCTCCTAGATAAATTTGTTCTTTTACTATTTTGTACTTCTTTTATTGACATTCTAGTTTTCTTTAACTGGAAACTGTTATCACAATCTTCTGTAATATTAGTTAAGTCAAGCTCCCATTTACGATATTGTTTTCTTTTTTTTGTAATTCTAAATGGATCTTGTAGTTGTGTCAAAATTATACATGGTTCAATCGCATTGTTGCTTTTGTCATTAATTGCAATAACTTTATTTGCACTTAATCTCTTATTTATACTACCTGGAGTTTTAGCTTCCTTGGTCATATTTACATTATTTTTTTTTAAATCTAATTCTTCAGTCTCTGATTTACATTCTATACCATCAATCGAAATATTTGTGCTTTTCGATTTAACTACAATTACTGAATCATATGCATTTTCTTTTACTTTATTATGTAATGAAATTTTATTCTCATTAGTGTCATCAAATAAAGACTGTGATCTATCTTCATCAAGAGAAAAATTCAAATGTCTTTTTTGTACTTTATTTGATGGTATATATTCCTTTTTCATAGAGGACACATATAATGGATTGTGTTCATTCATTTCAGTTCCTGAAACATTTTCTGCTATTTCACAAAATTTGTTAAATGTTTCTTGCATCGCGCATTTTCGTTGTTTCTTATTACTATTATTAATATAATTGGATGTATCTGTTTCACAAACAAATAACATTTTATCACTTTTGTTTAATACATGTTTTTTCGATGTATCAAATTTTTCAGACACATCTATATTTATATGCAGATTTTCTACAGGAACTAAATTTGAATTACTTGCACCAGGTGATTTATCTGTACATGTCATAGATTCATTCAATTTTTCAGAATATGTAATAGAAATTGGTGACAAATTAAGTACTTTAGTAGGTCTTATTGGTCTACCAATAGGTGTACTACTCATTATATTTTCAAACTTTTTAATGGGATGCGATGGTTTCATAAAAGATCTTTCTAATTTTTTTATTTTGACAAAACAATGTTTCATACATATATTATCATATTTTAAATTAAAATTTTCCTTAGTCATTTCAGCATACTTTATTAATTCATGGTTTTCCAACATATGTCCTTGTTGTTTCTTCGATTTCTTTTTTATTCTATTCATTTTATTCTCTCCTGCTGATATATTGCTTCCATCCAAAATTAAAACACCTGACTTCATTTTCAAACTTTCAACGGAATTTACAGTTTCATGATTTTTACCATAATTTTCTTCTGATATTTTTCTATCATTAATATAGTAATCTTTAAATTCTGAGATCAATTGTGAAGAACTGATATTTGAATTACTGAGCATTAATTTCTTTTTTGTTTTTGCCTTACGTAATTTTTTCTTATAAACATTATTGTTTTTCACCTAGTTATTTAAAGATTTTCATTAATGTTCTTTCATTAACTATAAATATAGTTTCTATACACATATTTTCTTCTCACTCTAGTTATAACATATCAATAAAAATTAATTCAATAGAGCTCGATTTACGATTAATATTACTTTCACTTACCAATGTATTTTTTCGTATAATTTTCCTCTGTACTTCCATTATAGTCTTTTCATTTCTCTTTCTTCTTAAAACACGCTTTAAGCTAACATTAGGTACCTTGATATCATCATATAATAAATATTTATCATCACGTGCCTCAGATACACTGATCTTTAAATCAGAATCTTTTTGTTCATTACTTTTTAAAGCATTAACAATATTTGTTTTGGATGATTGTTTTGAAGATCTGTAAAAAGAAAAAAGTCAGACACTGTTATATTAAACAAAAATAATGAGAATAATAAAAATATTTACTTTGTATCTTTAAGAAGTCTGTCAAATGTTGTTTCAAATGGATCATGAAACAGGGAATCGTTACTGTCGCTTTTCTTGTCTACAGTAACCGATTCTTTTTTAAAAGAAGTAGAAGTTAACTTATTTATTGTAGAAATATTTAATTTTTGTAATGAAATTGTAACTTCTTTACATTTATTCCGTCCATAAGTTCGAATCGGTACTTTATAATTCATTTTTACTTCTATAACGCAATAATTACTTAATAAAGACCTGCTTTATGAATTATTTCTTAAAATGTTTATAGTACTTTTATTTTATACAAAATGAAAATAAAATTAATACAAAATGAGTAAATTCGAATTTTTACTACACCACAGACGAGGTACGCGTTTGTACTATAACGTTTCTGTTATATACACAGCGCGCTTCTTTTGAAATCAAACATGACGACATATTACAGCACTGAGTACACATATATAGAGCAGCCTTTCACAAACGAAACTTTAATGCGTGTATCACGAAGTTGTTGCTCAGCTGGCGTTCATATTCTCCGTATCCATTATTTTCATTATTGTCTTATTTTTCCGTCCTAAACTTGAAATAAAATTTAAATAAATGATTTTACGCATTATATGCGATTATACACACTTTATGTCCATTCATATAGAAAGTACTTACCGCGCCATCTACTGAAAACATGTTCAACATGAAAAGTCAGCACCACAGATTTAAGATAGATATCTTAAGCACAGACTATTTTAAGTCTGTGATGTCAATGATTTCATTTTAACTCCTACCGTTGGTAACATTACATTCTTATTTCATGCCGCATCGATAACGTTGGTTGCGATATTAATTCAACAGGGGTGGTGAAAGCACCCCCAAAACAATAATCATAAAATGCTACTTTGATTAAACTGATCTACTAAAATCTATCACTCACGCATTCAATTAGAACAACAATAATAAAAAGAAAACTATTAAAGTAGCCTGTTCCTCACACTTACGTGCCACAGGCATTGGGAAAACAATTTATTTACCGATTAACAACACAATCAAAATATTAACAAGAACAATGTTTGTATTAATCATCGGTTAATCTATCATTGAAAACGATTCACGTGCTTTCATTACCATTGAAACGCAATGGTGCAAGACTTTCGTCTTATTGCGAAGGGCTATCGATTGCGAACGGAAACACTAATTTAATATTGGAATTATACTGCACCCTGACCGTGTCTGTTCCTGGCAGTCATTCTCTTATCGATACCGAATGCGGACGTTTCGCGGCCCCAGTGTTCCTTCGCTACGATGTGGAACTACATGCTGTTCTCGGCCCTCGTGTTGCTGCTCTCGGTACTCTATCATTGCTACTTTAACAGGCCAGCCAGCATGATCGAGCGTGCGGACGCAGATTACGATTATATAATTGGTAAGTGGAACATGCAATTCGACTGGCACGGTCACTGACCAGAATCACCGTGCGAGTTACGCTATTTCGCTCGCGGGGGTGGCCGAACAACAAAATTCCTTGGATCGTTTAATCCGTCTGTCGACTAGATCGAAACGGATTTGCCCGCGTGTCGTGACCCGCAACAACGCGCCAAATCGGATTTACAAGCATCATTGGCTGATACAACTGTTAACAAACATTTTACTATGTTGTTTGCGCATTATATTCCCATCCACTTACTGAAATCTGAAGCTTGAAATCACTTTTGTGACTGGATAAAAGGATCCACGGCTGAAACACGCCGGTTTACGGATGTTCAGGGGAATTTGTTATTGGTAGATTCATACTTGTACATGCTTTGATCAAGCAGGAAATTACTTCTAGAGAATTATTATGTAACACGTAGAATGGGGCGCATATTGCAGCAAATACCGCTGGAATTGGCACATTTGGACTTTATCCAGTTACATCCACTGTGCACGTGAATTTGTAGGTTGCTTAAGTGGAGCATCTTGAGCTAACATCCGTGTTCACGTGTATTCGCGTATCAACTTACCTTTCTGTCGTTTCGCCTCTTTAGTCGTACGACACTGAGGTTTTTATAAACGAAATGTTTCGCGCTCCAACGATAATAATACGAAAATGTGTCTCTCGGAGTTGGTGCTGGCACATCCGGATGCGTGATAGCGTCCCGCCTCTCCGAGATTTCGAACGTGACGGTGCTGTTAGTCGAGGCGGGCGGATATTTCGGATGGGTGTCCTCGGTGCCGCTTTTGTCGCCGATGACCCAGGGAACCGAGTTCGACTGGAGCTACCTAACAGAACCGCAGAAGTTCTCCTCGAAAGGATTCTGGAACCACGTAAATCAAAATAGCTATCGTGTTTAACTCTTCCACGACGAATATCCTCATATCGCGACATACAAGCAAAAATTGAGCTACTCAAATATCGAAAGATCAATAGTTTCCTACTATTCTAAAATCTAATAACGCTAGAACTACCGATCACTTAAACTGACTTTTACAAATTTCTTTATAAAAATCATAAGCGTGCATTTATTAAGATTCCAATTGAGTTGCATTTCAGTTTTGCTATTACTGAATTAGTTCCGTTAATAATTTTTCGTACAAGTATCTGTAGCTTTTCAATAATTGTAAAAGAGGAAATCAGAAGTAAGTCATTCTGACCTATCTGGTAGTTCTAGTGTTAAGAATTTAACGTATGATCTATCTTCTTATGAAGAATACTTGTAACATTCGTCTACAAAGGGTTAGATAGAAAGAATTTCGCAGTTTCTACTAGGAATGTTAGTGATTTGAACGGTGATGCTCGTACGAATCTCACGTTCGTAACAGAGAAAAGAAATCGTTTGCGCGAGAGGGAGAGCGGGGGACGTTCAGTAAATTCGAAATCTCTTCAGGTCCAGAAGGTGCCGAGGGGCAAAGGATTGGGCGGAAGCGGCCAGATGAATCATCTCGTCCACTCTTTCGGTAGACCAGAAGATTATGACGCGTGGCCTGACGGATGGTTGCACGCCGACTTGCTACCATACTTTGAGAAGGTGTCCGACATCATGAACGTGATGTCCAGTCCAGAAGAGGAGTTTCTGGCGAACGCTTTCCTCATGTCGGAAGACGCGCTGAATTCGAGCCACGTGACTCTGCAGAAAGGATTGTACACTACCAGAAGGGGTTCGAGGTGGACCACGTTTCACGCGTATCTGCAGAACGCTTGGAACAGGAAGAATTTACATATCTTGACAAATACGCTGGTTTCGAAAGTATGCTTTTCGTTCTTAGCATCCCCAATGAGTAAAATCTCATTTTTCGTCATCTTTTTTTCTTTAATGGGGTAATCCCGATAAGGTGGCTCGACCTCGTTCAGATTATCGAATATTTATATTTTCAATTGCTTTTAGTGGTTCACTGAATCTTGCATAGAAGCCTATCTATTCTTATTTATATTTATGATTTCTCAGTTCTCTTCAGTTCTCTTAAACAAAGTGGACCGTCACTCCCCAATTTATCCTATGTCTTAAGTAAAACATTTTCAATTACATATGAAATTTCTTAGCCAGTCAATATAATAAAACCAGACTTCGATTAATCATAAAGCGTTAGTTGAACAAGAATACGTTTTACCTCTTTCCTCCACAAATTCAAGCTGCTGCTTTGCACACATAAGGTCACGGGTTTCTCGAACTTTCAGATCCTTTTTAAAGACGGCAGGGTTGTGGATGGTGTCAAGGTGATTTACAAAGACGGATCGATAAATCGAATTGGCGCGAGAAAGGAAGTGATTCTTTGCGCTGGCGTTATCAATACACCTCAATTGCTTTTGCTCTCAGGAGTCGGACCAGCCGAAGACCTTGATAAATTTCAAGTAACCTGTAACCGAATATCGTACCAAAACTACACGTTTAACCGATGATCAGTTAAATTGAACGTGCGAAATAATTTTAGATACCGATAGTACAAAATCTTCCAGCGGTAGGGAAGAATTTCTTCGACCATTTGATGCTTCCAGTTTACGTGAGCCTGGAAGCTAAAGTGAGCATAACGTTGTTCAAGCTTCAAACACTGCCTGAAGTGGTTAATTATTTCGTCTTCGGAAGAGGCGAGTGAAGGGATACGTTTGAACGATTTCTGCGCAGTTTAATTGTATTTTGAACGATCGTCTTGTAACTTAAAGGGTGGTACGCAACCAACGGAGTGATGGCGACTGGTCGCACTGACAATGGCGGTGTAATGCTATTTGGAATGGGTTCTACCGAAGAGAGGATTTTGAAAACCTTGTCTAACTATAAGACTGAGGTAAACGTTCATTCACACTAATCAAAACGAAGAAAATTTTATTAATTTCAATTTTGATAGTCTCATTAATTAATTGTAAGAATTGAAATGCTTTCAAATGTATCATAGCATACCGTAACTAAAAATTTGTAGTAACTATTACGAATGAAGTTTATGTTAAATATAGAAGTTTACTTAGATTTATAATAGCTTCCGAGGAATCTTCGATACAACATGTGGTTACACTGAAAATAATACCTAAATGAACGCACAGCCTTACAGATCGCTTTATCCGTCCTACAACAACAGTTCTCAGGAAGGCTTTTTGTACTTGTCTTATTGTTTGCAACCGAAGAGCCGCGGAAGCGTTTCGTTGAAATCCAGAAACATTCGTCATCAGCCGAAGATCGATCCTGCCTATCTGAAAAACTACGATGACGTTCTGTGCACCCACGAGGGTAAATGAATTTCTTTCAGTAGTAGAAATTCATTGGAAATTGTTCAAATGAAATGAAAATCTCGCAGCGATAACGTTCGCGATTCGAACCCTCGAGTCGAAGAAGTTCCGTGAATACGGAGCGAAGGTTCATCATCCCGATCTAGAAGAATGCCGACACCTGCCACAGGATTATCGAGACGTCGAGTACTCGGAATGCGTGATGAGGATTGGCGGGCTCACGAGTTATCACGCATGCGGTAGCTGCAAAATGGGATATGACGAGACTGCAGTTGTTGATGCGGAGTTACGGTAAAACAGATATTTTATAACGTGCACCTTTTCGGTGCATAATTACTTTCAATCATCGGAAACTTAATGATCGAAGAAAGTTAAAGGATTCAGAACTCAGTGAATGTATCAAATGCGGAGCATACATTTTGTTGATTTGCGTTACGGTACTGCGCTTAAAATTCATCGGAATAGGAAAATGAATCAAACATTTGGAATAGTAAAATTAAAATTGTTAATTCGTATTATTTCTATTATTTTCAGTGTAAAGAATGTTTCTGGACTCCGAGTAATGGACGCCAGTGTGTTACCCTCGCCAATTTCTGGCAATCCAAATTCCGTGATCATCGCCATGGCGGAGAAAATAAGCGATTTGATCGCTAACCGCTCGTCTACTTAAAATTAACTTCTTTCACTGCGATAAATAAACCGAGAAATATATAATTTCTTAAACTTCACCCAGTTTAATTTATTGAAATCCCTCCTGTACGATGGTAAACTAATGAAAATCATATAAAAAATCCAGAAAAATATATGCAAAAGTAAAATTACTATACCTGCGTTTACACGATATAACATCGATAAACTATTCTCTGTTCTATTTTATCTTCGCTATCGGCACGTTCGAGAAAACGATCATTTTCGCGGACACTCTATTTAATGGCGTCATTTATATTTTCCTTAGCCAGGAAGTCAGTGCAAGCATTACCAGTACAATTCCCTCAGTAAACCCCAATGGCAAAAGGTCCGTGAAGCTTAGAGAAGGTTAATAGGGGTCTAGGTTCAGATTGAAAATGACCGGAAGAGGCTAACCGTTCCCAAGGGCCGGTTCTGGCCCACTAGCGCGGCTACTTGGACCTTATCTAAGGCTTTAACGAGGGCGCGATCTATTTAGAGATAAGAAGAGTCCGGTAGAAAAATAAATGTCGTAGGCGATAATAGTCTCGTTTCTCCCTTCGTCTGCCGCTGCCCACCCCTCCGATTGATTCGACGAAAGAAGAATGTTGAACGCTCTACATTTCCAAAGTATTCGATCTTTCCACGATTCTTATCTCCAAGAAATTCCTCTATCTTTCGAGTAAATTAATCATATAGCTAAATTTATTATTATTCTTTTTTACAGTTGACTAACCATTTTCTTAATGGAATCACAATCACTTATACTTCTATCAAACACACAACAAAAACTCCGGAAGGCAACCAATTTACTCTGGAGGCAAACAATTCTACATCACTTCATTTTACAATTCTTACATTACATTAATACATCGGTTTCCTATAATTATTTTCAATCAACCCTAAAACGGCGTCTGTCGGAGATCACCGCCCCAGTCAGAAGATCGTCTCACGGAGGAAGAAAGCAGAAGCAGGGCCTAACGTGGCGACGCGTGTTCTGTTAAAAGAAGGAAAAAAGAAAACGAATATGAAATATAAAAAAAGTGAGGTTAGGACGCACGGCAGAGGAGGAATGAGGGAAATCGTCGGGACAAAGC